ATTGCTTTAGTTTCTAGATGGCAGCTTTAATTAAAAGCACCAAAGACATTTAGAAGTTTAGAAATGGATGGCATGTAATTTGCCCTTTTACCACCATAAAATGGTAATTAACCAATTTGATTCACTTCTTCCTATTAAAAGTTTTATGAGAATCACAAGTTCCTTCTAAATACAGTTGTTTTTCAGCAGAAGGTGGCATTCTCTTTTATCCATCCTCACCAGTAGTTTTAGGTGCTGTTTCACAAAGTCTTCAGAAGTTTAATTAGAAGTTTTCAATATAGAATGCTCACTTGCAAGTTTTTAGCAGAGCAAAAAAAGTAAAGTAGAATTTCCAGAAGTGGGCAACAAATAGTTCAGGCTGCTCTTCATTGATGTATTTGAAAAGAATTTTGTCTCAAAAAGATTCTTTTAGAATGCAGGTGTAGGATATGATGTGGGGTGGAAAAAAAAGCAAAGAAAATATCTTAATGTGGAATTTACTGTATTACTTTTAATCCATATTTTAACACTATAAGCTTAGCTCCACTAATGCTGACATGCCTAAATTTCTAGACTGAAAGTTCATATGTATTTTGAATTTATACCTCTGAGAATTACGCAAAAAACAACCAGTTTGCTTTCTAGGTGCTATTTGCATTTATAATGGTGTACGTGTGTGCACTAAGGCAGAGCTGTCAAGGGAAATAACCCTTTAACCAAAAGAGAGCATATAACAGAAGAGGTTATAGTCAGCCTTCTGTGTTTATCATAGGTGTACCCAGCCCATCTCCTAAGTACTATTTTTTGGAGAAAACATTTAAAGCAAACCTTTCTGCAGAGTCTTTCTAGTGATAGTGCTTAGTAGCCATGTGTGACTGCACTAGCAGTAGTTAATTTTTAATGTTAGTTTACAGAATTCAAATAGTACTGATAAAAAGACCTCTGAGTATTATGAATATTTTTTTAAGATGTCTGCATGTAAATTCACTGAAGATAGATCTTCATAAGAGCTACTGGTTTACATTCAGGTACACAATCTTCTTCTATGTAGGGGACAGTCCCAGTGACTAAATATGACTAAAAACAGTCCTTCAGGACAAGCATGTTACTCAGAAAGCGAGATTGGTACTCAGCTCTGAGTCAAACAACAAGGCTAAATCCTGGACAAATTTATTTTGTCCTTACCCAGATATCAGTGTTTAATGAGGAATCTATACACAAGCAGGGTAAGTCTGTCATTTGTGCAATGGGCCACTTTACTGCCCAAAGGCATCGTCAGTTGGGCATCAAGTTTAGTGCTACAGTTCCTTAAAAAAAACCAGAGTCAAACTGAGAGCCCAATACAAACTACATCTCCTTCTCTGTCCAAAAAAAAAACAACTACCTAAAAATTACCCTTTTTACTCACTCGTGGAGTGAGCAGTGTTCCTACTTGCACTCAATGCAATTCATTACCCTCAGCATGTGCATGTTTCCTCCCCCAGTTCCTTGGTGATTAAAGCACAATTGCAGTGCTGTGTGTGATTTAATTCAGCATTACACTGTACGTCAGAAAAGGATTAAAAATAAGCTCTTGGAGTACAGATTACGTGAAGCATCATGCAAGATGTGACAGAAGCATTAATGAATCCAACTCTAATGAATAAATTGGGACAGTTTAGCCAGAAATCTGTATTTTGATTTCCAATGCATGCCTTATGTAGGGTATTTGTCAACAAAAGCTAAATAAGAATTTTTCAAGTGGGTAAAGTCCTGTTGTTTTACTATAGTCATAAGCTCTGGAAGCAGTAGGTCGTTGTTGAACGTCTATACACTGGTACTTGAAGAAACTGGCTTATTAGGAAATACCAGGAATTTAGTGCAAATACTGAAGACATGGCTTTGTTTATGCCATCACACTGGCATATGTGCTTCCCTTGTAGTTAATTGCTTTTCTACAATGGCTGGAGAGCAGCGTGGACTCTAGTAACATTAAAAGATCTTTGGTTTTCTTATATAGTCAGTGTTTGAAATCCATTCAGCCACACAGCTGAGTAGCTTTATTTCATTGCAGCATAATTTCTGATTTTTATATAATGGATGGTTTGCAGCCAACACGGCCATCTGTTCTCAGGGAAATTGCGCAAAACAGAAGATGCACTTGCCCTAGTGAGAGATCCTGGCCTTGTGTTATCCGTGGCATGGATCTGATCCAGCTGAGAAGCACAACTCCTCGCTTACCACGCAGCACCTCCCCTCCGCAAAGGCAGGCTCAGACACAGCACATGTGCTGCCCTTTCCACCCACATCAGGTTTCTCATTTCAGCCTGAGAACCGCACTGGGAAGCAAATCAAATCCCATCTAATATCATCACTACATGATGCAATATCAGTGAGGTTGAAACATGCCCAGCACCACAGCAGTCACATACAGTGGTCCTTGCTCCTCACACCCTCCCTGCCGCAGCAGCCCAGCGTGGCTTTTTCTTCTCAAGAAAGTAGGAGGAGGCTGGGACTGAAGATACCTTTGTTTTCAACCTTCACACATCCCTAAAGAAAACACCCTAGAAGAATTTCCTAGCAACTTCTCCATTTACTGTCAATCCCTTTGCATACTTCAGGTTTACAGCATAAAGCTACTCAGGGCAGGATGGAGCCCAGGCAGGAATGGGAAACTCTGAGCATCCCAACAGGAGCAGGAGGAGGTGCCCTTGGCTCCAGCACTGTGTGCACAGTTCCAGCTAATTCCAGTGTTTTGTTTGCACAGTTCTCTTCATTGCAACATTTCTTTAGCATGAACTAGGTAAAAACAGAGGTACAAAGGACCATCCCTTCCTGAAACTGGAACACAGAGGTCATTTCCTGGACACCAGAACAAACCCCTTTGCTGCTCAGACACACCCTTTACCTCAGTTCACCTTCAAAGCTTCAACCTTTCAGGTTTGGGCTTCTTAGAAGCAGATGACAGCCGGGAGCTTGTCAGTTGTTCTGGAGTTCCAAAAGCACTGTTACTTTTTAATTAAAGACTGAAAATCCTCTGAGGGAGCCAGAATCAAGGAGTCACGATCTATGAGCTCGCAGGCTGGCAGGGAGTCAGGCCCTAAGATTGTCAGCTCTTCCTTTAGCCTTTTTATAACCTCCCAGATTTCCCCAGCTAACCCATGCAGCCCCCACCAGGTGGTTTCAGTTCCCCAAGTGACATATGTCCTGGAGATCCAGACAGTTCAGTCATCAGCTATCTTGCATAATGAAGAGATGTAGCCTAGCCCTGTACCTTGGGCACTTCAGTCCATGGGCACCTTTTGTCCTGGATGGATGAGGTGTCAGGATGGTAAATACCCCCTCTTCTAGTGGCAGTTCACAGCCAGATGGATACATTGAACTGACAATTAAAAGAATTAATTTCTACTCCCAACGCTGTGTTGATAGATAGTAGGGAACAGGGAGTGCTAGACACTAAAGTTAACTGCTGTGACTTTTGGATTTTTTATGTGATGATACCCTTAAAACTTTGTGATCATACCCTCAGACCTTTGCAAGGTGCCTGAACATCATCTGTGGTGAAGAGGCACCTCAGAACCAGTCATGGGCAGTTTGTCTTGGGAGCCTGACCCTGGGTGTTAACACTGTAGGAGAAAGTGTATTACACTCAGTTGTGTATGCAACTCAAACATCCCCAGGCATTTCCAGCTACCAGGTAAAGATTTATTTAAGGGCCTGGGGACACTATCCCCTGCTTTTCCCAGCCCCATGGGAGATGCATATTCTGTATCAGGGCTTTCTGGTCCTGTCCCTGCCCCCCAGACTGCTTAGTCTTCCTTTTCCCCAGCAACAACTGCTCCTATATATTAAAAAAATATTAAATTAAGTATAAGAAAATAGGGTTGATAGGTAAGGAAATTCAGTTTGGGGTTTTTTTCTTTTTTAATGGCATGTGAAATTGCTGTGTGAGATCCTAAACTGGCGTGCAGACAAGTGTTTTGTAAACTCAGAGTACATGCAGCCTTCAGTTGTCCTAAATGCAGGGGACAGAAATCAAGAACCATATAAGCCACTGTCCAAACCATCTGTTCAAGTCCTCTGCTTTTCATTTCTGTGTAGCAGAACATAAATTCATTATTAAAATAGCTTGGCTGTGCACAGCAGCTGCTATAATTGCAAAGTTATGCAACTTTAAATGGAAAATTATGAAGTAGTTTAAAGCAAGAAATTGAGCGGTTTTGGTAGAAAGGATTTCGCAAACCTAACATGAATAGAATTGCTCTTCTGGTTATATTTTCAATATTTGAGGGAAGAAAGATCTTACCTACAGTTCAAATTGAATGCAGGAAGAACTGCAGGGGAGCTCTTAGGCAGAGACAGAACAAGGCTGTGACATGGCTGTACCTGTTTCCTCACTGAAATACAGAGGACCATGACCTTCCCATGCATAGCTCCCACATTTGTTTCAGGTCCAGCCCTCCTGTGCAGTGCAGCAGTGCAAGAGCTATTTGCAGAGGCAGGAGTGGGAGAACTGCTGAGCAGAACCTGGTTTGCAGCATTTGTATGTATAGCCCATAGCAGGACAGAAGTCTCTTTTGCTTTCTGTGGGTGCTTCTTCCTTGCTGAGACACTCTGATCATTCAGACAGTGCAGTAATTAAAAATATTGGCTCTGCATGACAATTAAGAAAGTGAAATAAAAATGAAGAAAAATAAACTGTAAAATAAGATTTTAGAAAAGCTAGTCTTACCCACTTGATGACAGATGTGGAGTTATTGAACAGCCTCATTCTATGTATGTATAATTACATTACAAGCAAAGCTGGTTTTTTTTGTTTCATCCTCATATCTTCCCCTTTAAGTCAAAACCAGCCTGATATATGGTTATGATCTTTCCATACACAGTTTATATAAGCTTCAAATAGTAATGGGGGGGTTGAAGTCGTACTCTTTGAGTCAGTTTTTCAGTGTCTAAGAGGAGAGGAAACATTTTAAGCTCATACTTTTTAATGAAGATAATGCTAGTACTAACACTGTTTTTTACCCTTCCCCTTCTTCCAGGTATCACTGTAGATAAGCACGGATTTATTTACTTTGTTGATGGTACTATGATTCGGAAAATTGATGAGAATGGTGTGATCACAACAATAATAGGTTCAAATGGCCTCACATCAACCCAACCATTGAGCTGTGACTCTGGAATGGACATCACTCAGGTAGGCACCTGGTTTTCATGTGTTGTCGCTTTTATACACATTGTGGAGACATATAACTTATTTTCTTGTACCAGGACTGTATATCAAATATGTTGGGTGGGTCAGACAATTCTGAACTGCACAGTATGGAGTAGATGTTCCATTCACATGATTATTTTAAGATGTATCATGTAAATGCAAAACTACACTTGATTTTTTTCCCAGGAGATATCATGTAAGTACTTAGACGGGCTTATGTAGAGTACAACCTGCATTAGAAAGTTTCTTGCTACTCTGAGATAGGTCTTCTAAGAAGTTATTCAGAAGTGTAAGTGCATTCACATAGTCCAGCATTCACACTGATCTGCTTGAACTAGTAAAAAGAAAAAAATACATTTTCTGTTTACATCTAAGTCTAAGTCGTGAAGGAGCATTACAGTAAGTAATTACACCACTGCAGTATTGTGGTGAAGCTACTGCATGTCAATACATTTCTCAAAATGCTTTTCAGTTCTTGTGTCAAGAGCATGGTAAAAGAAATAGGACTAAAAGACACTTATCTCTTGTTTATGCTAAAAAAGAAATACGGATAATCGTGGAGAAACGTAAATGGTACTCTTGACTAGTCAGTGAGCCAGGCTTATAGACAGCACAAGGAAGGGCTTGGCCTTTGCCAAGAAATACTTGAATTAATCAGCTTTTTCAAGCTGTACTTGAAAAAAATCTTTAGGCATTCAAGTGACATACTGAAATATTATGGACTATGTAAGCTAATAATCAGGATCAGGTTAATTTTGCATTTCATTTTCTCCCTGCCCTTTCCTCCGTCCTTCACAACTGGAAAATCACGGTTAAAATACAATACATAACAATGATAAGAGCTTGTTGCTCATCTCTAAGTAGCAGATGACCGTGGCCTTGCATTCACATACATGAAGAATGTGGGGTCAAATTTCACAGGATGAAATGATGGGGTCTAATGCTGCTGTCACAAAAGCACTTGGGGATTTTATTACTAGAATCAAAACAGAAAAATGTGTCTGTGTTCCATTTCACATGTCACTGCACCCTGTGTGTTTGCAAATGTGGGGAGGGGAACCTCAGCCTCCCTGTTCCCAGATCTGGGATAGACAGGCCTTTGTATTGTCTTGAGTCCAGTAGATGCATGATTATTCCATGTAAAGCAGAACAGGGTCAACTGGCTTAGTTGTGTTAAACCCAAGCATAAACTAGCCTGGTAATTGCCTTAAGATCATACAGCTTCTGGGCACCTTGACTTCTGCTCTGGCAGCTCTCCTTGCAGGCCAGCCAGTCCTGCAGGGGATGAGCAAGACCCTACAGCCAGCAGGGCTCCCGCTCCACTGCCACACACCAGCTGGCAGGAGCGAGGCTTCATGGAACTCCAAGCTGCCTGAAGCACATTGCCTTGCTTCTTGGATTCATATAACAACTGCCTGGGGCACCCATAACCAGATCAGATACCTCTGAGGTGCAGGGAAGGGCGCCAGGTGCAGTGTCTGATCCCTGCCTTCTCCCGATCCACGCTCTCGGGCTGTACAAATAATCACTTTATTGGCCACGTAATGTGTGCTGTGTATTCGTGCTCAATTTTTCTGCTGATTTTGCTCGGTAAAAAAAACCTCTCACTAAATCTGAAATGGTGAGGTTTGATATTTTTCATTTCCTTTTGAAAAATGCAAATTCCCCGTAGCAAATGAGTTTCAGCAGGGGGTCTGACAAGTACAGAAATAAAAGTATTTATTTTTTTAATTAAAACTAAATTAAAAAGGTAAACGGTTTGGGCTGAAATCAAATATGCTAAATTTGTAAGTAGATTTAAATAGCCCTAAAAGCCTATTTCTTGGTAGGTTGGTTGCTTGACAGAAACAGGTTTAGTTTACCTCACTCAATAATGTAGTTCCAATACCATGGAGGATGGGGCTTCTGCATAGATAAAAAGCGTGTTATAGAGCCAATTATTCTTCATATTGCTCTTGGGACATCAGCACTCAGCTGGGGAAGGGCCTTCTTTTCATAGAAGCAGAAACAAACATTTATTTTCCATGAGCACTCCAGGTGTTTCCATGCTGTAACACCTGCAGGAAAATATTGCTACACATTTCTTAAAATTTTGCAATTGTTTCAGCTTCTGGGAAATCAAGATTTCCCAATATCTCAATATAGATTGAGATAATCTTCAGTTGAATTGTCAATGTGTACAGTAAATATTCTAAAAAAATTATAAATTATGGCATATAAATACATCCCTAAAAAGTGGACAGTCTCATTTTCTAAGGATAGTGATAATGTATAATTTTTTGTGTAATTACTCACTGGTAAGTGAAGTCATATTGTGAACAATCTGCAACATAGAGCTTTTGGAAGCATTTCTTGTTTGTAGGATTTGTTTTGTGAGGGTTTAAGTAAACCTATTCATTGAAATTTTTCACAAAATCCATACCTTTGAGGTTCTTCACATACACAGTAAATCATAGACATGAAATAAATGCCAAGAATGCACATTCTGAAAAGTAACTGCATCATATTTGCCCATCATCTTTTCCACAATTGTTGCTGATAACCAGAAACCCTATGAAATAATCACATTTCCTTGAAGTCAAGCATGTTAATCTGAAATTATATCAATGAAAATAAGGGAATGATATTTTCATTCAGTCAGAAACAATTGTATATCCTTGCAAGACTACTGAGTTTATTCCAGAATGGCATAAACATAAATGAAAAATGAATTTGGCCCATCTCCACCTAAATTACTTTTTGGCTAGGTTACAAATGACATTTAAATCAAGAGAATGTGGGTTGCTCACAAATTGTGTGTTTATAGGGAATTATGAAATAGGTTAATAAAATCATTTCTCAAAGCTAAATTTGTTCTGACAATAAAATCAACAACTTGCCCAAAATCAGTATTTCTTAATTTACTGAAGTACAGAAATATACTCATGGAGTAAACACATAGAGTCCATTGCAACACCACCATAAATGACAAGCTTTCACTTAAAGGCATTCACTTTAATAAATGAGTTGATTATGAAAGGGTTTAATCATTTATTCCAATATCAGTTTTCATGGTATTACTTCTTATTAATCATTCTGTGTTTGTTATTCACCACCTTCTCCTTCTTAAGCATAATATTCTGAATTCATAACCGGGGGAGGGAAGGACAGCTGGGGCTGAAAAGATTACATGTTGTGGCAAATAACCCACCAAGCTCTGATTAATTACTTTGATCTCATACTTCACTGGGGGGATGTTAATCTGAATTTAGAAGGAAAAGGGCATTCAGTCGAGGTGTTTATATGGTATGCCAGCATTCTCAGTACTGTTTTGGCATGTATAAAACTTGGATGACTCTTCTTCTCAGCACAGATCATTTTGATTAGTTGATAAGGAGCAAATCTAAAGAAAGTGGCTCTTCAGAGCTATGTTAATGAATATCTATATGTATGTACTCAACACTCACCGTTGGCACCCAGATCTTAGCAGACACCTACATTAAAATTAGTTATTCCAGTATCTCATTCTGATAGAACTGATCATATTTTTTGAAAATGCTGCCTCTGAATCCCTAAACACTAGAACACGGACAAAAGCTAAACTGTAAAGGCAAAACATTTTTCAGGAATATCAAAAAATGGTGTTGGTCTTCATTTGTTCTGTGATTTTTTTTCACCACGCTTATCTGCACCACCCAGATTGCCAGACTTTTCAGATGAATGCCCCTTCTGCTCCCTCCTTGTATTCCTCTAGGTCTGGCTTCTGTTCTTCACGTGTTCTTTGGAAGATTTTTTTGTTGTAGGTTAATTAAATTAATAATAAGCCCATTTTGAACCTTATACTTTTGCATCTGAGCTGAAGGCCCCATGGACTGAGCTGACTATTCAGTGGTACAGACTACTGAGTATGTCCTTCTGTCAGACTGAAGCCCAAATGGAGAGAACAGAGTCACTGCCTACATCTCCTACCTTCCCGTACCCCTGCGGTAAGAAGGCTGTTGTAGGTACTCTAAACCAACTTTGAGCTAAAATGCTCCCACTGCCTTTTTGGACTGCTGGGCTGTCAACTCCTTTCCAAACCTGCCCCAGCACTGGGCTGGCTGCAGCAGGACCTGTGATAGGGGCTCCTGGCCACAAATCACAACAGGAGTGTGAAGGGAAGGGGCTGAGATGGGGAGAGAAAGACAAAGAGTCAGGGTCATCATTCTGTTTCACTGCCTGGTGGCTTTGGGCTGAATGCTGGTCTAGTTTAGAGGTTGCTTTTTTTCTCACATGTACGTACTCTCTGAGTGTTTGCACGTCCCTGGGGTATACAGATATTTTTTACCCTGGTTATTGATAGCACATGAGAGCACGTTGCGTTGGTATGTCTGTCTGTTTGTCAGTGTTCTTTTCCTCACAGTAAATCAAAATCATCAAAAGCTTGGGCCAATTTCAAACAAATTTGTAGAGAAACACCAGCCTCCAAAACAATTAAATTCCTACACGTTCCATAAAAAATATTAATCCAGTTGGAGGACAGAGACCTAAAGTGCCCTTTCAAAAGGAAATATTACAGCATAAGCTTTCTTTATTAAACTCCAGAGATTCCACTCAGGATGTAATAAATGCCCCATTCACAGGAAAAGCTTCATTTCATGTTGGATCTTATTAAACTCCCAAGTCAGTCAGCCATGCAATGGAAGTCCTTAGGAAACCAGACTTCATCAGATCCAGTGTTCTTGGAAGTTATATTGACGTTGTGGGAGGTTTTGTGTGAAAGTAAAAGCACTACAGCTCATCTTGAGTGATAAGCTTTGCTGTTCTGCCTCCACTGCTATGGTGAAAGCTGAAGAGAGAATTAGCAGATATTTCTACCATCTTGCAATTTCATCCTGTATCTTTCCTCCCATGAGAAATATGTGGGCTGAATTTCCACCACTCTGAACCATAAGTCATTTATATCTGTGCGAGTGGTTGCACTTTGTATTTGGGAGCTGTTTAAACCAATCTCGAGCACAGTC